CCTTGACAGATTTTAATTAGTCACAGTCCTCATTAAATACTGTGCAGCTTAAATGAATTCGCATTCATGTCTACAATAACAGGCATACATTAAAAGCAATGTGAAAACATATTGCCCATCTCGATTTCTCTGTAAATTTATGGATTTTGTTTTTAACGGTTTTCTTCTTCAAATGAGAAACTTTGGCATGTAGTGTAGTTCCATTGTCTCCTTATATAGGCCAGCCATCCACAAGGAACCCTGGCAATTCTCCCCTTCAGCTCTTGGTGTTGTGTATCCTTCTTAGATCTGGTTTGAAGGCTGCTACCAGTCCTCTGACAGTTCTTCTGCTCTTTTTCTTTTTTTTTTAATACTACCTTTGCTTCTGCAAAGATAGATCCGGTGCCAGATTTCCTGCTGCCTCAGTGCTACTTAGTATGGAATGCTTTGCACAATCACATTCATCTTAAAACTGAGAGTCAATGCTGGTACACTGGAAAAATCCTCCAGGGTAATCCAAACCCAAATCTTTGCATATCATAATGTAGAAAAAAATGTTTTGCTTTGTTTGCTGGCCCAGAAAAACAATGACGTTATATCTGCTTCTGCAATCTACCAACAGAGAAAGTTTAACCTTCAAACTCACAAATGGAAATTATAGTTTGAAAACAAAATGATCTGCATCATGTTTTCTTATATTTCAACCGGACTTGATGTGATTTTGTTTACTTTTGTTCACATTTATTGTCCCCAGCAACTTAGTTCATTCAGAGAGTGACTTTTTTTGCCCATTTTTCTGCAAAATAATTCAAGCTAAATGAGATTTAAGACAGAAAACAGGTCTGTACTTTGACAATCATTTAAACACATGTTTTTTTTATTTTATTTTTTATTTTAGAGTTGTCATCCAGGAAGGACATGTGAGGTGCATAACTAATAGTTTTCATGTGACAGGATTCTCCAACCGTAGCTGTGAACTTCTGCAGCTTCTCTGGAGAAGCTGTCTCTATTCAGCACTCGTCACTCCCCATCAGTTGAAGTGGAAGACTGTGTCTCTTTACAAGCTTACCCTGTTTTGACCATCTCTGATCCGTTTTCTCTTTTCCACGGTCATCATGTTTGTCCACTGCTGTTTTCCACTGGCGAGATAAAATATACACAAGTGGACTATATTTACTAATTATGTTACTAAATAGTTATGAACCCAAATTCACAGAAAGCCTTTTAAATTTATTTTGCAAATCTGATGCTTCTAAGTGATAAAAAATGGAAGGCTTAATTTGAATGAACAATTATTGTTCCTAAAATATTGCAAATGTTTGAAAAAAAGCTAATATTTAAGGACAGTCATGATGTCAAAGTAGAAATAATCATGCCTGAATATAAATCAAATGCTTTACTTTTAGCTATTCATTATGTAATGATGGATTATTTGAATATAAACTTATTTCCTGTACATTCACTTTATAAGCCTACCATCTAATCCTTTGTTCTTATAAAAACCTTTTGCTAAAATAAGAGAAATATGGCTTTCTTCAGTGTTTTTATTGTGCCACTAGAGGTCAGGCTAGTACACTATATACTACATTAGTTCAGGCTCTTGCAGTTTGCTGAGCCCTCATTCAGCAGCCTTTTCAAGTTTTTAATGTAAAAATATTTCTATGTTGATAAAGAGCATCAGAGATCAATGACTGTGTGAAATTATTGCTGTTCTGTATGAAAACCAGAACGAAGATATAAAGGGAGGCAATAACAGAGCATCAACTTTTTTGTTAGATCCCAAAATAGACTTCCCATCTGATGAGTCCAAACATCAGACTAATAGTTCATATTTCGGCTTTCAATGTGTCAAACGCATTGGAGAGTAAATTGTGATTTGATTACAGATTTCCAACTCCTGTGAGCATTCTTTTCCATTTCTGAATGGGAAGTTGGGGAACACTGAACTACAAACAGAATATAGCTTATTTTCAATTAATCACCACCATTTTTTTTAACCTCTGATTACACCATCAACCTCAAACTCAAAGCAAATCTTTTTTTTCCCCCCCAATCTGGTCACGATTTAACAACAGTTGGAAATCCGGCAGGGAAAATTCCCACTTTATTACCCATTTTATAGTCCAGTAATTATTTTCAGTAAAGCCAACACACCTCTGGATGGCATCCCTAAAATGTTTAATTCTGCACTTCAAACTGAATCTAAAAGCTGCTGTGTGGTCTAAATATTTTATCTCAAGTCCAGCTTGGCACTGTCCCCTAAAAAAAAAAAGTACATCTTGCTTCTAAATTAGGTTGCAATCACTTGGAGAACTTGAAAGGACATGTGGGAGGACTACCCTGTCAGCCCCACTTTATATAAATGCTTGCTCACACAGAGCAGGGTAACACTGTCCTGTCTGATCGTTCTCTTGTGGCTCCACCATGACAGACCCCTGCAGCCCAGCGCATCGCTAAGCAGCTCAAACCTCTTTGGTCTTCAAAGCTTTCCTTAGAAAGAGATTGAGGCTTTGCATATTCCTGAAGTTGTATTATGCATAAGAGAATACATTTTCCAAATAATTTTTAAAAAAGTTTTAAAAAGTTGAGTGCATCTTTGGTCTTAGCTAATACTAATTATTGAGCTGCCTCTTGATAACTTAGTATATCTAAGTCTTAAGGGGAAGCATTCCGACAAATCAATACTTACATGTTTCATTATTAGAGTGGTCGCAAAACCAGCCCGTTAATATCTAAAGGCATAAGAGAGAAAAATCTACATCTTTCGCCAAAAGTAGTTAGCACAACAAAATGTAATAAATTTTGGTTTTCTGCAGGTTTTAAACTAGATTTGCACAACTCCGATGGAAGAAAATACTGACCCTTATGAAAAATTCAAGCGCAGAGTGGTAGACGAGGAAGATTTTGAGATTTTGAGGAGTTCTATCGAAGTCTGCTTTTCTTCACAGTCCATATCCACATTTCACCAGAAATTCTTTATGAAATCAACGCAGCTTTAAAAATAATAAAAACTAAGAGCATACAAACAAGACAAAACTGGACATACTGAGAGGAGGTTTAAGAGAGATGCCTTTGGTGGAACCTGTTGTTTTTAGGAGGGGGGATAGCAGTCTTAGACTAAATAGCAAGCCAAATAAGACATTTTTTACCCATGTAATACCATCGGGGGGGAATTGTAGAGTAAATTTGATTAACATTACAAGGAGGAAACTGCCAAAATGCTTGAAAAGTTAATTCTCTAAACAGCTTTGATATAAACTCAGCAGCTGTCAAATAAAAAGGTGACTGGGAGCATATTTAGGAACCCACATTCCAGGAATAAAAAATGTTTGTTTGTAGAAAGAAATACAATATGTCAAACTTCATTTCACAATTTATTTACTGAATAAATTTGGACAAAACACCAGAATCTGTTACAATACAATCTGAACATCTGAGGCAGATATCCCACCATGCACCACCCACCCGCCAAGGAGCAAAACAAAAACTAAACATTAGCACCATATCAGCACCAACTTAAATAAAAGGTAGCTCAGTCTACAGAAACAAGGGAAGTTATAGCCGTATTTGAACTGGAAAGAAACTCAAAAAGGTAGTAAATTAAGATTTTTCCTTGTTTAATAGCTTTTCTTGAAAAGAAAACCAAAAAAGTATCCTCCTATCCCCAACCCACCCTTGCCCTCACTAGGCAGGCTATAGCATTCATGGAGCACATGCCACTGACTAGGTTAAAAAAAAAAGAAAGATTTATTCAAGTAACATTGAGATACGACAAAACATGTCCATTGCTACCCAATCTGATCCTTTCACAGAACCTACACAGGTAGTAGGAAAACTAACATGAGGTCATGGAGTGAACATGGAATAGCAATACCACTACTGAATATCCCACATCTTTTTATTTTATTATTTTCTAAATCTTCCAAACAGAAATGAGGGAGAGACTGGGTGGCATGGCCTGTTGGGGGCACAGGAATACTGGCATAGATGGCGTTTTGTTTCTCTAAAACCTTAGACAGTTTTCTCTTCACACCTGTCCTGTGTCAAAATATTGCCTACATCATACATGAAAAGGAATCTCTTAGTAAAGAAATACCCTGCTATGTAGTTTTTAAATATATATTTTTATTCATTTATATATATTCTTATAGCTGTTACAATTTAAATAAAACATTACGTTATCGCTTGTACAACTGAAATTTAAATAAAAGGAAGCTAATTTTAAGGAGGTGGAAGTGTTTGTTAACCTAACACACCAAGTGCTTGATGCCATGTTGGGATGATTACATAGAAAATGGATGAAAGGCTTCAAGGAGATATTAAAGCAGCAGGAGCAGATTAGAATAGCTTAGAAACAAAAGCGGTAGCTGATGACATAGCGAAAATCAAAGCATAATCGAGGCTTAAGGAGAGTTATAACTGAAAAAAGGCCACCAAGGAGTTTTAGTGACGGTCTGAGTTGTCAGTATTGCAAAATGGAGATACGCTAAAACTAACAAAACTGAGGTCGGACATTTTTTCTTCTTCTTTAAAGTAATGATGATAAAAAGACGAAGAGGTTCTGTTTCCTAGTGGTCCCAAGCCAGTTGTATCAGCTTAACAGAACATGTGGTTGCTCTTTCCAACTTGGGGTCTGTGGCGTTACCGTTATCGCCATGGAAACCCGGAAAAAAAAAAAGAAGCAAAATCTGTAAGAAAAAGTGTGGTGCTGCAGTCTGTTACATATGGTTGTCCTTGGTTTACCGCCTTCATATGTCCCTTCATGCCTTAATAGTGTCAAAAATGGTGAATGCATCAACTTCGTATGAGCACCACATTAAACCAAAATGCACAGGAAAAAAAAAAATTGCTACACTGTTTTGCAACTTGCATGTCTGGCAGCAATATCCCCCACTGAGGAGTGCCTTGCCAGATAATCTATAGATGCCATTTGTCATGCCAGGCTCAAGGTTTTCCATGAAGTGGTGGAAAAAAGGAAAACAGGATGGAAACACCTTATCTATGAGTGACAAATTCATCTATTTATCTCTAAACTACAGTTTTTTTCTTTTTTTTTGGCTCTGCTGATACCGTGGCAAGCAGATCGTGGCGGTGTCATCCTTTTTGTGCTTGTTGGTAGTTCAGCTAAACAGCTCCAGCTCCTCCTCCATGTTCACCTCGGGCACCATCTGCTCCTGCTCCCTCTCCCCTCTACTGTGCACCTGAAACCCGCCCATCATTCCAGAGGAAGTGAACCAAGGGTGCTCCAGGATCTCCCGAGAGGTCAGGCGCTCCGCTGGCTCCCGACGTAATATAGAGCGGATCAAGCACTTAGCCTTTGGAGTCAGCGTCTCAGGGATGTTAAAGTGGCCCCTGCGGATTTTGCTGAACAGAGATCCTGGCTCTACGTCGTGGAAAGGGTAGCGCCCAACCAGGATGGTGTAAAGCATGACGCCGAGACTCCAAACATCCGCCGCCTTGCCCGAATAGCTGCCGTTGGCGTTGAGGATCTCCGGACTGACGTAGGCTGGACAGCCGTGTTTGTCCGACAGGGAATCATCAAGACCTGCTAGGATATAAGAGTCCTCAAGGCTCTCCAGTTTAACAAGGCTTCTGCAACCAGAGGAGAAACAAAAAGAATGCCATCAATCTAAAGCATTTTAACCACAGAAACACAAAACTGTAAGATAAAACAGCAGAGGAATACAAATTTAAAGCTCACTTAAAAAAAAAAAGGTTTTGAAAGCTTATTAAAATTCCTCCACATAAAACTTGTTTTTTTACTTCTTCCCTGACCTTGATTGTAATTGATGCCTAACATGGCTAAAATATTCCTCTCCAAACATCTGTTATTCATAAATATCACTTAATCAAATGGGGGAGCAAGCAACACCAGCTTAGTGGTAAAATAAAAAAAGTGACAAATCCATTCAATATTAGTGCTTGATCAATGGCAATGATGTAACCATTATTATGTAGAGCAAAGCACTCAAATATGCCTCTTTGCTATTACCCAGAGCCACAAACCAATTCCTACTTATATTTAGATTTATGTTTTACTGAACTGCTTCATGCTCATTTTAAGAACAGGAAATATTGTGTTTTCAAAGGCTTAAATGCACAGTATGAAAGATGAAACCCACATAAGTCACTGAACCATATCCGAGTTCAATCAAACATGAAGCCAAGCGTAAAAAACACTTTGTTCCAAACTGCATGCCAGCTGGCTGAACTAAGGCTACTTCACATAGAACGGCTTTAATCTAATTAGCAGATTAATAGCCTGATAGCAAAAGTTGCTTTATAGATTTTTAAGTATTACTATTTGAACAAAGCGAAGCTAAAACTATCCCAAACAGTCTTGGATATAGCATATTACAAAAAAAAAAAGAAAAGAAAAGGTTTTCACTTTAAATACAAATATTTTGTGTATTTGTTTTCTACAGTTTGGCTTAATTATGACTTTGAATGGGTTTTATTTCGGCAAATGGCATGCTCAGTCTGTATAATCTGGTTAATGATTATAAATAATCAATTATTTACAAAATAACTTGATTGTAGTACAATTTCTAATTTTTCTTGCAAAAAGTAACAGTAGATGCATTTTATTGTTTTTTAAAGTAAAATTTTACACTAAAAGAATTTTATAAACTACAATATATTGGACATTATTTTGTATAGGATACCGTAATGATCCTTCTTGGCAGTTTTCCTGAGGCTCCTATTTTGTTAATAACATCTCAGCCTTATATTCATCCTTACTCTGGCCTGAGAGACCGCTCATAAAAGACCACAACATCAATCATTTAACATGGTCTCAGTCGTGGACCTAAGAAGGCCACTGGACCTGCACTAAGTATGTGAAGCAGCTCAACTTCTTTTTCCACAGTACGTGCCAAAGAATGACAACCTGCATTCTGATGCCAACGAGCAGAGTATGCCAGGGGCTAAAAGGATTAACCAAATTAGTAGGCTTGATATAGTTATAGTGTGAAGCATCAACTCTAGATGGTCATTTGTAACTATTGTTCTTTCCTATAATGAAAGTAATAATTTGCTATTGGGTTGCTGTAGCAACTGATGCCTTTTTTGTAGTTAGTGATAGCTGCCAGAAGGTGTCAGAATCTGTACTCTGCAAGTGTGATTGTCAGGCTGGGGTTATTACAGTAGTTTGGAGTCTCCCTTTGATTGATCGTCTGCCACCTAAAAGCTTTACCAAGCAGCTTATCCGACTGCGTTTTTTCCCATCTAATGTTAGTGCAGGCCTTCAGTAAAGTCAATGATTGCATGCTAGCTCTCACGCATTTCATCTGTTTATACAAAGAACATGGGACATTTCCACAGATAAACCGCATGCACAGAAAAAACTGGGGCAGATGCGTTTAGGATAACCATGCCAGTCTTGCTTTGACTCAGCTTACACCATCCGCTGTTAAAGTCAAGATGTGACATAACAGGCAGCTGTATTCTCACCATGAGAGCTGCTTTGATGGAAAAAAAAGAAAGCCACAATACTCAGTTAGTAAAGACACTGAAGGTTTGCTGAAGCTCACCTGTCCTCGTTTTTGAAGACAAACTTCCTCAGTTTGAGGTCACGGAGGACCAGTCCGTTGTCATGGCAATGTGCCACGGCTGAAGCTATCTGATAGAAGAGCCGCGCGGCCTCGTCTTCCCGCAGCTTCTTGCAGGTGCGAACAAAAGAGTGCATGTCTCCGTGGCTCCTGTCGAAGAACACGTAAGCTCGCGTCTCTCCGAGCAAAATCTCCAGGATTTGGTTGATGTGCTCATGCTGGCCCAGGGCAAAGTAGGCCGCCAGCGACTCCTGGTATCGGCCAATGTCAAAAACCTACAAATGTGACAGGAAAGTTTGTTTTTACTTTAGCTAATAAATTAAGTGACACACAGATAAAGAGTCATTTCAGCTTTAACTTAGTATCACACTTGTTCTTGTATATTCTTTTGCAAATAGGAAGGCTAAACTGAAAGCATAATACTACATGGTACTGTGCTGCTGCCTGGGGTTGCAGTGTCTTATTTGTTTCCATAGCAACCCCCGATTGACTTTCAGTACAACCAGTTCAGGTGAGAAGGCACCACTGCTTGCACTCAATACAAAATACACCCTGCGGGTCCAACGATAGTACCCAGCCTTCAAGCTTGACCTAACTGATGAATCCGGGAAGTGAGGGATTGATTGGTGCTGTATTGAGGTCAGCACCAAGCTGATGAGGACAAACACAGGTTACCTCATAACCAGAGCCAAAGGTCACTCATTTTTCATGGCAGAGAAAACATTATCATGAGTCAAAGGGGCAGGTTACTGGATATGTCATGCTTTATGGGTCCAAGGGTGGATGTCACTATTGTTTCTATTAATCATCCTGAACAGGGCAGTTTTAGGTTTAAAAGCTGCCGAGGGACAAGAGCTGCGGATATAACAATCAGGAGTATGGTGAAGTCAATAAATGAGGTAAGAAAGGGTTATTGTTTATTGTAAGATCGGTCACTGGCTGGGGAAAACACCACAACAGCAGCCAGAACATGGAAAGTTAACAAGACCTACAAACAGATGAACAGATCAGAACTAGATCAAGTCTGATCAGCAAATTTGGCCTTCTTTTCCCCCATCTTACTGGTTTAGAGTCTAACAGAGCATTAAAGAAGTACACGATTATTACCATGTATGCATCAAAGCACATGTGCCTAAGCAAAATTTTCATTAGACTAAAAAAAAGAGCAATAAGTACATATTTTGTACGTCTTCATTATGCATTAAGCATCTAACGAAGAGGAAAACCAATCTGCTTTTTCATTAATTGACCTACTGTTCACCACTGAGGGAGAAACAAAAAAAGAAATTGCCTGATCTTTGCAAACGTGAAAGAATTGTAAAAAACAAAAGCTCTTATAAGAATTTTGTGCAGAATGAGCACAACAACATTGGCGTGCCAAACAGCTACTCCAGGGTATACTGATTACAGCATTGTGCTGTGAATGGAGAAGCCACGGGTAAACCAGAATGGCACTAACAGGAGTGTGTGCGAGCGGTTACTCACTCCTTTGTCAACGTTACATCATGCAATCCAAACCACACAGCTCACTCCATTCACTTTTTCCATCAGGCTGGGCTGCCAGCTCTCTATTTACCATGTAAGCAATAATTTAAAAGTTGAGGTGGCAGGATTTCGTGCAATATGCATCCTAGAAGAAAAAAATCCAAATCTGCATTTCTGCAGGAGAATGTGCAAAATCTGAAACAAAACTCAATTTAAAATAGATTGTTTGAAGCAATAAAAATAAGCATAAGGGTTGCTTTTTAGGGGAAGCTGCTCACCTTACATACGAGCTCGTCCCCGCTGTGCAGGTGGGCGGCTCTGAAAACGTGGTCCCCCTCCAGCGGCTCCAACAAAAGGTAGTCCCCGATGCGGGAGATGCAGTGCGAGGAGTCCGGGGTCTCCGGCGGGCTAGGGGAGCCGAGGTTCGGGCTGAAACTCTGGTTCGACTCTGTAGTCCTTAAGCAAGACAATTCTTCAAAATCGTGCGATTTGTGTCGCGATCTCCCATAACGTGAAATGTTGATTGGATTTGACCTCTGTATGTTCATGAGGAATAAGTGCGAAATCTCTCACAAAAATATCGAAGTTTTCTCCCTTTTTTCCACCTCTGCCTTGTTTTAAACACCACTAATACCTTGATACTTAAAAAAAATATATGCTTACCTAACGTATATAATATGAAAAAAAGGAAAAAATTAATTTATAGTATCGTGCTTTGGTTTTGTGTCAACAGGCAAACAAAAAATGTACTCAAAAAAAATTCTACTGCTCATTTGTTCCCTTTTATCATACATTCATGAAATGAAATCCGTGTTAAATACCTGCCTGAGGCCAACGAAGTGCAGTTTCATTAACGTGGATGCGAGACAAAAGCTGCAACAAAGGCTACCAAAAGTTAGCTTTTAAAATTAATCAACGGTTGCTAGGTCTACGCTCCGCTAGCTTATCTCGCCGGTGAATTGCTAAGACACGTTTCGTAAAACGGAAACAATGTACAGGACACGGCTTGCAGTCGCATATATAGAATAAACAAGCCAAACAAATTAAGTTTCTGAGCTAATAATAGCTACAGAAATTCGTTAGGAGGAGGGGGTTTGCTTAGCAGGTGCAGAGCTAACTAGTTAGCTTCCTTTGCTAACGAGTACCGGATCAGTGCACGGCCTTTTTCCCAGGGATCATATCCATGCACGGTGATTGTCATAAGGAGAGAGCCCCATCCGGAGAGACTGCTGACGCTCTTTGTGTGCTAGCCGTTCTCTATCCTCCGCTTGAACTTATCCAGTGGAAGAAACTCGCCGCTTCGTCGGCTGTGTCTGCTGCTGCAAAAGCTTGTGGAAGAAAGGAAGGGACGGCCGTCTTTCCCAGGCCAATCCCTTTGATTCAGCAGGACATCCTCTCTCCCGTGGTACCGCTGTGCTTCTTACGTGGCCGGGGGAAATCTAGTTCATTCAGTGCAGAGGGAAGCTGCACACTGCGCCTGTACACTAGAGAAAGAGAGAGAGAGGGAGGGAGAGAGACAGGAGCTCCTGCTTTGCAAGTAGGAGGGGGGAGGGAGGGATTGAATGCACGCGGATATACACCAGCTAACGCACGCGCCTTTTGATGTCACGCTCACATCGGCACCCTATTGGCTGGGAGCCGGCAGTGAGGTCATGTGAGAGCCATATACCGTAGCTACACCCCCAGGAATCTAAATGCAGCGTTGGTGGAACAGACTACAGCTACTGTACACGCTGCGTTACAAATTTGCCCCCCTCCTCCCCACTCTCTCAAATGCCACTATAGCAAAACTGGAGAACAGTATGCATCATGCCAACCTTTGCAAACCAAAAATACACACTAGAATAGAAAATAGAATAGAAAACCCCTTTATTGTCCCACAATTGGGAAACGAAATTATTATTATCATCTACAATTCTACACTAACTTGTGCAATTAATACTTAATAACCTGTGCAATAACCTGTTACTTTATATTTGACACCCACTGCAATAACTATGTATATAAATATACATATCCATTTATATAAATAGCCATGTAAATACCCTGTGCAATAACCCTGTATAATAATCCTGCTATTAAAAAAAAAGCTGTCATGTGTGAATATACTGTATATACCCTTTTTCTCACTTTGGCACCTTCTTCTTCTCTGAAAAAAATAATGCAACCATTTTTTGGCATTCACCTAATCATATTTACTTACTTTAACACAATTGGTTAATGTTAGCAGGGTAGGACATAAAACAACTGTGTTAAAGTAGTTAAATATCATTAAGTCTCTTTTTGACTATTTGAGATGATGGAAACGGTCAATTTCTCCATTGTGAGATCAATAAAGTAAAACAATACAGCTTCAGCTAATTTCAACCTAAGTTGTTTCTAAATATAGAGTCAGTCCAAAAGTGAAAGTGTATTTTTTTGTTTTGTTTTTTTTTTTTATAAAGGCTGACTCATTATCCAGTTTATTTCTAAATCCATTAAGTTGTCCATGGATTTTGAACAACTTCTGGTAAAGACAAATTAAAAAAAAAGGCTGCTGTTTTTTTTTTTTTTTTTTTTTATAAATTGGAAGGATGGCATAAAAAAAATGGACAAAAAAAAAAATCAATAAATACGGATAGAGCATGTCTGGTGTTTCAGGGGTGGATGTTTCCCATACATAGGTCATTTAATTTAATTCAAAAAATACTTTATTAATTCTGAAGTGAAATTAAAAGTAACTCGTGGGCTGTTTAAGGCTTGTGGTCCTATTGTTTAGGACCCAGATTAAATCCCTGATCATTATACAAATACACTGTGGACTCAGAGATAACTAATAAACCTTCCTTTTCCTGTATTAACATCTGGACAAGGACCGTGTTGTGTAACAGATTGCTGTCATGCATAGTTATATCTTTAAGATGTGTTTCATAGAATAATGGCGTTTTATTATTCCCTGCTTGTTCATCCTAGATTACCACCATGTATGACAGAGGATTGTGCAATTTTGCGTAGGAAACCAGGGGCGGCTAGAGGAATGATTGCAGCTGGACCCAAGACACTGACAGAAGTGTTTGATTTAACCCCTATTCCTCTGCTCACAGACAGTGGCAGCGCACACATGCACTGTTCTATACCTTCATTTCTTTCTCTCTGCCCAGATAAACCCCCAAGGATGGAAATGGCATTTTTTTTTCCTACACAGAAGCCTCTCATCTAAAAAACAGTGGCTCACAGTTGCTGAATGTGGCTGCACCCACAGGCTCTTCGAGCGTATGTGTATGCATGTTCTGAGATGCAATCTTAGCGAGCCACCCACTTTGTTCTTTGTTACAATGCTGGAACACTCTTCACTCTACAATAGCTTCACTTTCCTTTCACAAATTCTGCAGAAGACTATCAAAATGTCTTCTTCAGCTATTGAAATATTACAATCTAGTATGGAGCAAACTGGATCCTTGTTTAGCAATCTACATTTCCATCGGATGCAGCTGAATATTTGTGTTCTGCCCTGGCTATGACCCAAAATAAGGATTCTGTTAAGCCTAAACCACAGCTGTGCACGATTTGAAATAGTAATCTGTAAGGATTCCTCTTGCTCTCATTCTGTAATACACAACGTGACTTATTTGCAGTACAGCCCAGCATTAGAGAATAGAGTTATCAAGTCTCAAGACACAGCAACATGCTGTTCTTGAGACAGCCATGCTTGTCATGCTCTTTGCAGGTTTTGTCTTGGAGGACATGTCAACTGGATGTATGCTTATTCTCAGTATCATATGCAATGTTAGTCGGAATCTGAGGAAAGTGTTTGAGGTCAATATCAGTTTTGATTTTTGATAAGATCGGTCCTGCTGTTTGCAATTTAAGACCAATTCAAAGAACACCCCTCATCCCCAAAAAAATAACCAAAAAGCAGTCATTTGAATACGATTTTCCTTTCAGCCAGTGGCCAATTTCCTGCTGTTACATAGCAACGCAGCTAGTCTCCCCTCCCTGATATCAACCAGAATCATTTAGCGCTGTCACTGAAATCCCTGTAGGTAACTTCCAATGAGAAAGTCAGTCATACGAGAGAAATCTGGAGGCAGAGGCAGGGGGAAATGAGATAACATTCAGGAAGGGATACAGGGTGAGCAGACAGGGGTAAAAGATAGAAGAAAAAGAAGATGAAGACAATAACAAAGAATAATGAAGAAAGACGTTTGTGAAAAATGAGAAATAATGAGAGAGATGTCAGCAGGAGGGGATAAAACATAACAATGATGAATCGTTACATGTTAAAGTAGAGGCAAACCAGGCAAACATGGCATACAGGTTTAGCGAAGGCATCAAAATGACATCAAACCATGTCTGTAGTTTTTATTAATTGTTATCTTTAGGCTCACAAAGAGTTGTTCTTTCCCTACAGATGCTTGTAGTACAAAAGCTGTCTTCAAAAAAGGTAGAAATCCTACAGCTGCAAGATTTACCAAATGAAGTGCAAATTGAAGAATTCCTGCTAATGACTGAAAACATTCCTTGACTCTTTGTAATGCTTAACATTGAATCTATTTGCAGACATCCACTTGCAAAGCATAAAAAATAAAACACTAAAGCAAAAACAAATGGACTCTTTTCTTTCAACACATTTCTGGTTAAAACTGTGCAAAATATACATTCAGTGCTTTGTAAAAGTTTACGCTATTCTTAAAATTGTGTTACCATGTTACACCCACAATCATAAAGTGAGTTGTTTGGTTTTTCCTTTTTTGTCTTATGTGAAATACTAATGCATAATGAAACATAGTGAAGGAAGAAGATGACCTAGAATTAACCAGATTGATACAGAGTAGATTTCAAATTGAATTATACAAACTAATCTGGAATGTGTTTGTAAAAGGGAGGAACATTCAATACAATTCTTTGAGCTGTATCAGCCTCTGATGTTGAGTTTTTTAGCCAATCATAGCAGCAGCAGCTTGATTGGTTTCATAACTAGCAGAGTTAATTGATAAATCAAACTCTTACCAAATCCGTTGGTAAAAGTAAAAAATCATGTCCTTTTGCACATTTTTCAAAAAGAAATAGAGGGTATTCCAGCTAAAACTGGTGAGAAAGTTAGTAAGCAAGCAGAATCAATTTAAAGGATGTTTATGCCTATGAGACTTTGTCACAATCACACATTGACCATGAAAAGAAGGAGCTCTGATGAGTTAACAAATCTGTCATTTTAGTCCTGCACAGCATTGCACATTATACACAACACCCCCATCTGGAAGCATGGTGGAGGGGGCATAAAGCTGTGGGAAGGTTTTTCTTCAGAGACCTGGAAGCTACTCAGGGTTTAGGAGAAGATGGAAGGAGCTAATTATAGGGCAATGGCGGTATGTTTTAAAGGCTGAAAAACGGCAGAGACTGAGTGATGGTTAAAAATAAAATACCTTTAACATACAGCTAAGGCTACTGTAGGAGGGCTTAATATATTTGGGTAATAGCCCAGTCAAACTCCAGGCCTATGGAGGACCAACTCTGCCATATTTAAAAATAAATTAAATTTTCAGGCCTGTATGGAGAGTGAATTTTGTACTTGTGACAGTGTAATGACAGTAAAAATGCTGGGGAAAAAATGTCCTTGATATATTTAGCTAGGAAAAGTTTTTCTAAGATTTTTGTCATTGCAACCATGCAAAGCTGGTGGAACCATACCCCAAAAGACTTGCTGCTGTAACCAAAGTTAAAAGTGGAAACCCAAATGTGTTTGTTGAAGGTTAGTGGACCATGTGTTGGTCTATCACATAACATCCCAGTAAGTACAAAAAAATGTGTTATTGTTTTAATATAACAAACTTGAGAAAGTTAAAGGGGTATGAATACTTTTGTAAAACACTGCAAGTTCATGACTATCAAATGAAACAGAACACATCCTGTGGGCAGCACAGCACACCCAAGGGGACCCTAGAGTAGGTTAAATAAACAATGCCACTTCCACTGACCTTCACTTAACCCGTCACCCTCACACAAACAGTAAATCTGCTGCCCTCATCAAACAAAGTGAAATAAATATGTCCTGTTGTGATAAATTCAGGATGTGCAGCCCGAGAAGCAGCTCTTAGTGGGACACATTTCCATTTTCCTCTTTGAGGCTGCAGGAAGTGTTAGCGCCTTGTTTGTGTGTGAGGTCATGAAGGCTTCAACTCGGAGAGGAAGGATCTTGGCTCAAGATGTAGACGGCATTGGCGTCACTGGTTTGGATCTCTCCTTGGTGAAGTCAGACAGCTGAGTGAGGACTTGTGGCAGTCCCGTCACCAGGCAGGGTGACTCACTCGCTTGGGAGCAGAGAGGTTAATAATAGTTGCGTATCACAGCTCTTGAAGTGAAATAACACAACATTAGCAGCTATAGCTGTACAAATGATCCGTAGCAAATAAAACCTTCTATGCATCGCCTTTCATTTGCTTCCTTCATGTGATGCTAAACTTTAAAATATATCACTGGATCTTTAAAGTGCAAGAAA